ATGGTTAATCAGAGTGTATCAAAGACGACGAATAAAGCATGAATTAGAATATCAGCAGAGGAAGCACACAAATATTCAATAAACGTAATCAATCACTGAGAATAGCATGGACCCAACTTTTGAAAGATTCATAAAAAGGAAGATTTTTCCTATGCAACAATATTCAAACAATGAGAAGATCAATGATTGATGACTAACCATACAACCGAAGCAAAGCCATAAACAGAAACGAAAGTACTAAAGAGCCACAACAGCAGTGATACGACATTTGTTTCCTCGCACTGGAAACAATGACGTGCTTCCATAAATCCAATCTAGTTTTTATGGAAAACAAACCTGCATTCATAATAAACACTACTATTAATTATTATTTTTTATGCAAGAATTAAATGGCAGTATAAAAAATTCAATGGTTAGTACCGAAAAAAAAAGCAAGGATTAGTTATGATATCAAATCAAAATTAAATATCAAGCAAGGTATTTACATAAAATTAAGGCAGTGGAGGATCTAAGAATTTTTTATATGATAATATCTACAACTAAACAAAGAAAATTTATATATTTTTAAAACAGAATCATTATTTGTTTTTTGGTAAGATTAAACCGAATCATATCATATTAGTAAATTATCATTTATTTATTATTATCCACGTTAATTTAAAAGTTTAAGAGAATATTTGCTTTTTCTCATAAATGATGGAATAATAACATAACTCTTTTAGATTTATAACTATATTTGACATTATCATATTAAATCTATTAAGATAAATATATTTCTTTTTGAAAAATATAAATAAAATGATAATATAATTATTATAGATTTACAATTATATTATTATCCATGTCAAAATTTTAAAACATTTTACTTTTTTTCTCACATAGGAAGATAGAACAATAACGTAACAGTTTAAGATTTACAACATAAAAATAATATCAGAATTGGAACGCCAAATCATAATCAACACAATTAACACAACTCTAATGGGAAATTAGAGTTATCTTGTGATTAAAATACTAAACAAACAAAACTAACCGAAACAAAACAAAAGTCTTCCTTTCAAAATCATTAACGTGACGGATTGCTGACTGATTAAGTTGAAGTTTTAGGCATTTAAAGATCTAGAAAGATGATTAAGGTTAAACATTTTTATTTATTTTAAACAACGTTTGAATGTTGACAAAAAAAGAAGAAGAGAGTGTTGGGACCATCGGGAGAGACAACGTTGAGCAGCTGCGAAAGAAGCCAACGTTGTCTATTATGTTCCTCACAGTGTTTGATTTGACTTTTGATGACATTACACTCCTGTCCACTTGTTGTCTCGAAAGTTCATGCAATGGAAAATTATTAAACAAAACAATTTACTTTTATGTATAAATCTTAGGGAAGAACCGATCAAGCTAAGATCAATGGTTGTGGTTTTAGTACCGTATACTTCTCAAATATACCCATTATATAACGGAAATCCGCAAGACGGAGAGGAGACGAAGTCAACCTAGCTGGCAAAGGAGCTAACCCAGCTCCTTTGGTCTTATTTATGGTCATATGTATTTAGCAAAATATGGTATACAAACCGAACCAATCAACAACAAAACATGGTTTTAAATTGTTGTATATTTCTCAAAAGTCAAAACCCATAATAACCAATGGAACAGAAGAAGCTAATGCAGAGCATACTTACGCTTGGAGTAAAGAGTGATGCAAGCTTCCATTGGCACACCCGAAAACACATCAGAGCATGGAAAGAAACCTAAAAACCAATAAATTAAACAATAATTAAATCTTAGTGCATGGAAAACGAATCCTATACATACCAAAGTCCGAATCTCAGTGCCTTAGAATGACCTCGATACCAAAAACTTTAAGTTACTACTTCCATATATGTAATATTTTAGTTTGGGAAGAGAGATTGGCAACAAAGAGTAATTCCTGAATTTAACAGCCAACTTTGTTATCCCTAATCTAAAGAGAGGAATACTTAAATTGTATTAACGACAAAAATTAGCCTCCTCTGAAGATTCATCCCTGAAATAAGTCATCTTTCTGACTTTGTGGCAACTGTGTTATCAAAAGTTGAGTGTTTCTTCTGAAAAAGACATATTTGAAAATAATAAGAACATGTACCTCAACAAAATCGGGAGGTACCTCATCTTTTTACAACAAAAAGAAACATACCAAACCATCGATGATTACCTTCTCAAAAGTTGAAACCAAACTTTTTGATTATCAAAATTGATTAGTGGTGAAAATAGTGAAACCATAAATACAAAAGAAAAAAATCAAATTTGTACATATAAACTATAAGATCACCTGTTTATTCATTGAATTAGGTCCAAATTTTCCATACACCAGTTCACATCGTCCCCTCCATACATCCACCCTACAATAAAAAGAAAAATTAAAATTAGGTAGAAGCAAAAAAAAGTTTGAAAAAAAAGAACAAAAAAAACAAGGGTTAGTTATGATCTGAAATTGAATACCATGAGCAAGGTATTTATATTGAATAGGAGACGGTGCATGATTTAGGGTTTCTAAATTTTTCGACGATAAATACAAAAAAAGAAAAGAAAATTTACATATTTTAATAAGCAAATCACTATCATAATAATAAATATTTGTAAAACTGCCATTTATTCATTGTTATCCATGTTTATTTAAAATAATATTTACTTTTTTCCGTAAAAATATGGAATAATAACAACTATTTTAGATTTACTACTATATCTTATAAAATATATTAAAATTTAAGGGAAAAATCCTTTCTGTTTCAAAAATAAGGCGGAACAATAATATAATTTTTGATTTACAATAGATAGACATGCATGGTATCCATATGCGTCATGTCACGCTGATCCATATTTTTTTCCAAAACTCGATCTAATTGCTATTATGTGCAAAAATCACCGCCGTTCACGTTAGCACTCCATACCTTAATTCACATGTAAACCTCTCTGCCTATCTCTGACTTCAGCTCTCTCATCTTCGAGTCTCCCCAAGAAAGTTTTGACACCACACCAACATTTCATTCGTCAAAATTAAATCGAGTTTGCACAAGGTTACAACCGATTAATAGGTGGTCTTTTACCTTCTATTTACGATTTTATGCTATGAATATATGTTTTTGTCAGGGTTCAAGTCAATCTCCGGATTAGAGACTTATAATCATCCGACGAACAATACGATGGCGTGATAACCGTTTCTAAATTGGTGGGTTCTCTTTCATTGATCTACATATTATTTTTTTTGTTCGTTTTTTTTTTCCAAATATTTAGATTGAAACGACGACGAACACGACGATCATACCAAAAATTTCATCTATTCCGGTACGTTCGATCTTTATTTTAATTAGTTTAACAATTAATAGCCGTTTACGATTAATTTCGGATATCTAAATCTTATTAATTTGAGTAAGGTTAGAATATTATTCTTTTATGTTTATATTAATGCTCCGATTAATAATTTTCGGATATTTGACATTATCATCTTAAATATATCAATATTATAATAAATATTTTCCTTTTCCGATTTTTTTTTTGGTATAATTCCTTTTCCGATAAATTATAAAACAGATCTGTTTACACAAAAGGTAAAAAAAAAAAAAAAAAAAAAAAAAAAAAAAAAAAAAAAGCCATCAACCGTCTCCATTCACACGTTTCTTCATTATGATCACGAATTCACGTTCATGGAAGCTTCATCATACATTAACACTTACAAGTTTCTTCGTCGAGTTTTTATCCAAGGTTTCTTCGTCAACTCTGTATCCAAGGTAATAAATATTTGTTCTTTTCATTGGTTAGAATTATAGGGTGCAGGATAGTATTGACATCTTAAAGACATAACATGGGCAAGATACTATGAGAAGCTTGACTATTCTGCTTCGACAGATCAACAGGTGAAATTCTATCACTAAATTATTAAATCTCTGTTATTGCTATGAATATATGCTTTATGTTAGGATTTCACGTTTTGCCTTCGTTTAGAAGAATTATATTCACACGACGAAGAACACGATGAATTCAATTAAAGCTTTCTAACTGGTACTTCGTTGTTCCTTTTTTTTTTTTTTGGTTAATTATCATGTTTATTGTTTCCAAAATTATTTTTTCCTGGTTAATTCCGAAATTCAATTTAATTTTTCCAAAATTAATTAGATTTCATTAAGGATAATTAAGTAATTACGTAAAATCAAGGACTCAATAAGAGCCGAGAGTCCGACACGTCAGCAAAAACACTTCTCAAATATTGTTATATATAGATAGTTTAGTATAAAAGGGAATTAATCATATAGTTTTATGTTTATTACTATTTGGATATTATATTGTGTAGTAGTTATTTGACGATAATTTGTATATTTTGATTGTAGAAGTAAATAATATTATAAAATTTATTTTAGATATATTTTCCTTATAATAGTTGGTTACTTTAATTTATATTGTTTAACACTACATGAATTTTAATTTGGTTGAAGACATGAATTGCTAATAAAATGATGTAGTATATATTATCTTAGAATTGAATATATTTAGTTGTATTAGATTTGTATTTTGTTTTATAAGATTAACAATTTATTTAGTTAAGTAGTAATTGATAATTAGATATAAAAAAGAAATTGTTGTATTGGTCTGAGTTGTTTAGTGGGCTATTTTGGGTTTATTTGGCCCAGTTTGTTTGTTTAAAAAAAAAAAAAAAAAACAACAACAAAAAAAAAAAACAGATCGGCAAACGGGAAATTTCAGACAGTTAATCCCAGAAAACTAATGTCGAATTCTACCCAAATTTTTTCAAATTCGACCTCAAAGACAACACAGATTGAATTTCTTGCCCAATCCGTTCATATATTTCGAGTAATTGAAGCACGTCGGAGTGGTGATCAAAGGTAAAATTCAAACCGAACGATTTTGTTTATAAGTTACAGAAATCGATTAATTAAGTTCATGAGCTGATTGATGATTATATCGATTTAAGAATCAACAAATTATGCAATAGCTGATTGCAGATTTGAATAAAATTCTCGGTAATGAAATTGTCGATTTCAATGAGTTGTGAAGAAGAAGATCAGCGAGGAATCTAAACACGGTTGATCTACTTCAGCATGCAATTCAAGAACAGCTGATTGCAACAGTAGACAAACACATAAATGTCCAGGTAATTGATAATGACCACTATTGTTTATTAGTTAAACAAATTGATCTATATGTTATTGAACTGATTGATGCATGAATCGTTTTTTAGATTTGGTAACAAATGAAACATTTGATTTTGAAACATGTAGATTAGAATATTGAATTCATAATAGAATTGTAAAATCGATATACTGAGTTAAACAGAGTGATGGCATTCATTTGTTTAGAAGAAGAAAAAGTTCTATAATCTAAATTCGAGTCTGGTAAATAAATGAAAGAAATACCAAAAAATGAAAAACTTTAAAACTAATGCTGTTGCTTCTTCAAATGCAGAAGAATGGTTTTCATACTCTTATCCCTTTAAACACGTCCTGAGTATACTTCATCCTTTCAATTCCTTGTTTTGATGCTGAAAAGTTGTAGAAAATGAAAATAGAAAACAACATAATGTCATCAGTCATAAAAACAACTTCTACTCTAGTCTATAAGAATGGAGAAAACCATTATGATTAGTTAACAAATTTACCTAGTCGAATTGGAACTCTTTTAGATTCTTTCCATGACTGTCTTTAGTGAAGGTTTTGAAAGACTTCTTTATAAACTACATTCATTGTTTTACTCTGTGGCTTACCTTTCTTGTCTGTTATAAGAATCTTCAAACCTGATATAAGGGTAAAATTAATAATCTTATACATAATTTAAACAGTCATATTCTGGATATAAGTATCTTCATACCTGATTTTGACGACACTCTAGAGACTGCCACGTATAGTTGACCATGTGAAAAAACATGTCTAGGCAAATAAAGTCCAACGGAAGATAATGTCTGTCCTTGACTCTTGTTTATGGTCATGGCAAAAGCAACAGATAGAGGAAATTGCCTACGCCTCATTTTGAAAGGCAATCTGGCATCTGATGGTGTGATGAGCATTCTAGGAATCAGAACAATCTTACCAACTTTGTTACCTGTGATAACTCTAGCTTCAATTACCGTGTCTGCCATTTGAGTGACCTGTAATCTTGTCCCATTGCATAAACCTTTATTAGGATCCATGTTTCTGAGTAGCATGACCGGACAACCAATCTTCACACGCAAACAATGGTTTGGCAATCCAGAAACTCTAACACTGTTCAGAAAATCAGGAGAATATGCGACATCATTCGCAGCACTTGTGTCTGAAGGGTCTATACTATCAGAACTTAGGTAAATTCTCTCTTCACCTAAAAACAGAATGAATATGGATGCAAATTTGATATAAGCTTGTATTGAAATTGTATCATATTCATCTGAAAAAAATAAATAAGGAATGGTAAAAGTTAACTAACCATCCAACATACTCAGCATATGCTCATTTATGTTGTTGACATCCTCATTAGTAGGACAGAGAATAGCTCTACCTTGAAAAAATTTAGGATCTTTCTCCACCATAAAGGTATTTCCATAAACTGCATCGATGATGGATTCGATTGGATCTTTATCCCGAGTAATAAGTAACTCTTTTGGGATGTCAATCATAGCAATTCCATCATTAGGCTGTGCAATTTTTCCATCTCCAACATCTAGTATCCACTTTGAGAATTCCTCTATTTCCCGCTTTTCAAGGTCACTAATGTTTGCAAGAAGTCTCATATTCTTTGTTAGCTCCAAAACTCTGCAATGCTCCCAAATATAAGAAGAATTAAGCGCAGCAAACACAATCTCCTCTCTACCAGCACCATTGATAACCGGTAACACTTGTCTGAAATCACCTCCAAAAACTATAACTTTACCGCCAAAAGGCTTGTCCTCTGGATTATTCATAATATCTCTCAGAGTTCTATCCAAAGATTCAAAGCAATGCTTACTCATCATAGGAGCTTCATCCCAAATAATTAACTTTGCCCGGGTAACCAACTCACCAAGATCTGATCCACGTGAAATGTTACATGTAGACGCCTCATTGGGATTTAAAGGAATACCAAACCTGGAGTGTGCTGTTCGACCGCCATCTAAAAGCAGAGCAGCAATACCGCTAGAAGCGACATTTAAGCATATGTCCCCTTTTTATCTAATAGCAGCAGACAATAATTTCCAAAGAAAAGTTTTTCCAGTACCTCCAAAGCCGTAAACAAAAAACACTCCGCCTGTATCGTGATTCACAGCATTCATAATCTCATCATATATCTTCTTTTGTTCTGGAGTCACCTTAGCCAACCATTCTTCATGTTTTTCTTTCAATTCTGCACGGTTGTACTTGAGTTCATCCAATAGAAAATGATTGCATTTTTCAACGTCTTCCGATGAAACTTGTGGCATCTGCTTCCATTTTGTAAGTGAAACTCCATTTTTTGTTAGCAGCCTATCTATCTCTTGCAAACAAAATTCCTGTTTCTCCTCATCACTTAGATGGAGATCTGCAACATTTACAAAAACATACCAACAAAATAAAGTTACTCACCATCAATATATTAACTGCTAATCATTCAAATTAGTAAAATAAAAGTTGTATATGATAGTTCCAAATAGAATATATAGATACTACTACAAAACCTTGTCGTTGCCATTCTCTTCTTTTTCTGCGCTCAATATCTTCTGATAAAATCTTCCATGTTTCCTCCCATACCTTCTCTGGTTTCGTTAAACTTTTTGAAAGTAGCATAATGACAAATAGCCTCCGAACATACTTTGCAGAGCACCAAAAATTTGCATCTTTGATACCCTTGATATACTCTTTGTCATCATCTAGCAATCCTAAAGCGAAAACCGCATCTCTGAAGGATTCGTGAACAACACCTTTCACAGTTTTGAGATCTTTATATCCTGTAGCACCTCTTTTGATGTTTAAGAGGATTCTCAAATAATAAGCATCCTCTATTGTACGTGGAACAAAGTTAATCCTTCCAATAGCAAATCCTCTATCTCTGATCACAAATTTTTTTTCTTTGCTGTTCCAAGTGAAGTGATTTGGAACTTCTTCAAATAAGAGCTTGGTTGGATCAGGAGCAGGCTTTGGCGGTTTTTTCGCATTAGCACGGACTTTTCTACTTGGAGGATTCTTGTTAAGCTGAAACCACGCCAAAAATTGAGTAGCTTCACTGCTTAATCGACTCATAACACTCTCTTTGGTTTCACCTGGTTTGTAAAAGACTGGTTGTTTTCCTTCTTCATGAAAGTAAAGTTTAACAACTGGTGTTGTTCGATGATGTATGGGAAATTTGAAAATTCTCCATATAGCTTCACAAGCAGATACGTACCTGTTCAAATTGTAATAAGAAACTGCCATTAACAAAGTGATGTATAATCACAATCAGACTCTATATATACAACTAATTAAAGTATTAATGAATAAACCTGCAATCAAAGTAATCCTGGACTTCGTCCTTATCTTTCTTAGCAGCAGCCGGGTCACTTGGCTCAACAGTAACTGTGACACGGTCATGTCCTTTATGAACATACTTAAACATATACTTTATTGACCCTGATTGGTTGCACCACTCAACATTGATATGAGCATGATAACGAAGGGATAGCTTCTCATTATATGGGATTACGTAACGATTATCGCATTGAAAACCATTCTTCTCGACATAAGTACCAGTGTTACGTCTTCTGTAAACTGGAAAGCCATCATTATCAACCCTACTAATGTTGGAATAGTCTTTGGGGAAAAACTTAGAGCATTGTCCATTCACCATACATGGTGAATTCGGATGACCAGCACCACATGGTCCATGAATCATACAATCTTTAACCACTTGGTAAAGTTCTGGTTTCTTTTTCTTATCTGGAATCTCAGCACATATCACTTTATCAATGTCTTCGGCGGTAGACAACTTACTGGTGGGATGCATGAACAACAAAATGTGTGCATGCGGAAGACCTCTTTTCTGAAATTCAATTGTGTACATTGCTGAAAAATACAGAACATAAAAAAGATTAGAGGTAAATTCAAAACACAGATACTAATAATATAAATAACAGCTACAAGTTTAAAAAATACCTGAAGCTGTTTTTCCTAGCAGACTCTTGGTGGTTAGATCATACATAAGATTATCAAGCTTCATCTTGAAAATCCTACATATGATATCTGGTCTATCATCAGACTTCAGGTTCCTCTCTTTACAGAATCTAACAATTTCAGGCCACTTTGAATTGCAAGTAAACGTTATGAATAGTGATGGAAATCCAAAGTGTTTGCAAATAGCCATTGCATCCAAATAATTGTTTGTCATGTACCTTGGTCCGCCAGTAAAGGAAGCTGGAATCTTCAATTCTCTACCTTGGTTTTGCAAATCATCGTTTCCAGCATTTGAATTCCTTTGGATTGAATCTAAGTTAGAGCTCCGAAAATTGGCTTGATTCTTCCTAATATATCTCAGCCTGTTTGACTCAATCATAGTGTAAGCGTCAACAATGAACTGCTGAAGCAAGCGCTTAGAGCGAAACAAAACATGTTTCTCCTGTTTCCTTTCTTGAAGACGATAAGCAAACCACAGCCTCATACTTACTTCTTTCTGTTCCTTTTGAGCATTCCCTTTGCTGTTGGTCTTAGCTTTCAGTATACCAACTCTAAAACCATCTTCCCCGTGTGGAAATAATAGAGGATATTGTAGTGCTAGATAGGAAACATGCAGTTCACTTATTCTTTTTAGCTTCCCTGAACTTTTCTTCTGTAAAACGATATCACGTTTATCCATATTTTCATGAAAATCTCCTGGAATTAATGCTGCAACTTCAGATGCTGTTGGCAGATTGTATGTCCTTCCATCATCCTTTCTCTTGGCAATAATTCTCATGTGAAAAGTGTCTTCTGAATCTGTATTGAATCTGTCTCTTGCTGATCTAAACGCTTCAACATGAGGGTTTATATCATCTAAAAGCTTGATGATACTTTCAATGATGTCTTTGTTCAAATTTTTCTTTTTCTGGCCCGTGGCAGATTCACCCTCTTTACTGAAAAATATATAAACTTATTAGATTATAGAAAAACTCAATATTATGTTTCTAATAAAAAGAGATTAACAGAGAAGATACCTCATAATGTTATATCTATTGTCAATCTCATTTTCAGTATCAACAATATACAGCTGTTGAAACTTTGCTTTGTTTCCTGGTTTTGGCTTCATATCACCCATGAGATGGTAATTTTCACCTTGTATTGCAAACATCTGAGACCCACGACCTTTAGGAACACAATGATCCACTTTCCCACCGATAGAAGTAAATGAGAAAATCATATTGTAAGCTCTGATGTTTTCCCTAAAATGTCTAGCGATTTCATCATTACTGGTTAGCAAATACCACAACAATTCAGGCGATTCCTTTAGGAAAGGTAAGACTATCTGTCCTTGCATACAACACCCTGAGAACTTTGGATTTTTTGTTTTGCTCCTCTTGTTTAGGCGTTCCCCATACCAAAAAATAGCACCACACTCGCTACAACTAAAGATTGGATCACCTTCATCAACATAACCTGAATAAAAAATAATCAAATATAGTTAGATCTTACTATAGTAATTCTATTTGCTATTCAACAATATATTACAAAAATTGGAATAATACCATTTTTTTGCTTAGGCCTATGTGTTCTGGTTCGGTTCGGATTTTGGGTTTAGACTTCTAGAACCCATTCAGATATTTATATGTTTGGATCTGGTTGGTTTGAGTTATTTCGGTTCGGCTTCGGGTATCCGAAATATCGGAAAAATCTTTTAGTAAAATGTAAGACCAGTCACGAATTTAGGATTTAATGAAATTCTGTCAGATTGTATTTATGAAGAAAAGGATTTGTGTAGTTTCATATTGAGTTTGTTGATTTGAGTAATTATAATATTTTGATTATGGTCATACTTTTGAAAATCATGTAGTATTAAAATTTTATTATCTTGCTAGCAATGTAAAACCAAACCACAATAAATATTTGGTTTAAAAAGGTCTTAGAATATAAGTAATTCAATAAATTATTTTTTTAATATTCTATCCATTTTAGATGAAATGTCTTTTTTAAATTATTTGTCTAATATAAATTTTGATCTAAAGTATCTCATTTAACTTATAAATTGATAATAGGGGAGGTTTTTAAAAGTGTTCACTTTACTTTTAGGAATTTAATAATGAAAAAAATATCATAAAAAACATCAACTTACCAAAAGTGTTGAAAAAAACATCGATTTTGCATAAGATGAATTAAATCGCGAACTTTTAGTTAACTTTTGTATTAAATCGTAAATTTTCATTGATTTTATTAAATAAAACACGTCGTTAAATCAATTGACAGACTAATTTAACCGAGTTAAGTCAATATTAACAGTTTTCGTTAATTCCAAAAAGACATCGTTTCGGAATAAAAAAATAAATACAAAAAAGACTCCATTAGGATTCGAACCCATGAACACCGAGACATAATTACAACACTTACCCACGAAGCTCAAGTACTTACTTCGATTTGATACACACATAAATACATAACATACACAAACAGATAAGATTTGACCATTGACGGGAACAGAGCCGTCGGGTTGTTACGTACTGGGAATTGAATTTTTTTCAAGCGGCGGTTGAGACGGTGCTTCGCGGTGGTTCTTTGAAACCGATACCGGAGTTTCTCAACAACGGTGGATGACGGTGGCTTGGGATCAAAATTTGAATATTTACTATCACTCTCGATTCTTAAGTTCTAGATCCAGATCTACGGCTTCTACGCCAAAACGGATGCAATTAACGTCGGAACAACCTTCGTCGGAGCTTGATCTCTCTCTAATTCTTACTTTTCCGATTAAAACGGCTTCGTTCAAGGAATATACACCATCGGTACGTACGCGGCGGAGGGAGAGGAGAGAAACGATGAAGTTGCTCAACCTTTTTCGCTCAAACGGTGTCGTTTTCGATATTGGATCAAGTATCATCGGGCATCGGCAAATAAATATTATCAGTTAATTCTTAAGGGCTGTTGGTTAAATACTACTAGATCATGACCCGCACGTACGTGCGGGGTTTCATATTTTAAAAATGTATTGTAATAAATTTTTAGTAAATATAGATTATTTTGTTGTTTGGTGTTATATATTGTAGTATATAAATTATTATGTACCCAAAAAAGATGTAGAATGTTATTTATGTTGTTTACGATACAATAGCTAATGTTGTGAACCATATGTCAAATTTTGGAGTTTAAAACTGAAGAGTAGATTAGGAAAAATCTTAGATTGAAATATAATATAGGTTATATTGATGATGTAAACAAATATATTTTATATAGTATTTATAACCCGAACTCATATCAGTTGGGTAATTAGTTTAATTTTCAGTTTGATTTTAATCTAGCTTATTAATATTTGAATATTTGAAATAATAATGGTTTCAACAGTATTTTAAAATTTGTAACAACTTAGCGGTCGGACCGGGATCAAATTAAAACGGATTAATGGTTAGTTAGATTTTTATTAAACTTGTGAACTATCAAACCGTATATAAAACCGTTAAAAATGTTCAAACAAATATAAATATTTAGAAATTGACGTAATTCCGTTTGGTTTCGCCATATTCCATTATATCTTATACTCGTTCTCCAATTCATGTCGCATAAGAGAATACATTTCTAATATGAGACAAATTTATTAAATATAGATATTTTAAATTTATTTGATAAACTTGGTCCATAATTTTTTTGAACGAATCTTAACAAAATCTTAAAATGAAGAGAGGGTTTAATGTGAATAAATTTTAGATAATCATTTTGAATTAATTGTAAATAATGTGTAAATCTCTTAGTTAAGATTAATTTTCCTAAATCTTTTTTTGTATCAATATTTTGAGAACATTCAGATTTTAACATTGTTGTTGCGTATATATATATATATATACATATATATATATATGTAGAAAGATTTGTTATTGCGTATTTATTGTGTATATATATTTGTTAAGGAAATGTTTTAAAAATCTCACCAAAAAAAAAGGAAATGTTTTAAAATCTAAACTACCTGTTTTTAAAAAGATATTTCAAAATATCATTTAAATTCTAATTAAAATGTAAAATATTTTAATCTTTCTTCAAATTTTTTAAAAAACCAATGGCATCCTATGTAATATTCTACAACTTAAAGGTTTTTTATTATATAGTGATTCCCAATTAATAGTATAGATTTCATTCTCTGAGAGGTTAGTAGTTCGACTGCCAGGTTTGTCTATTTTTTATTTTTTTGGGCAATATTTTTTATAATCTTTATATGTTCGTGTTTGTTATATATTTATGTGTGTATTGAAACCCCAGTGAGGAATTCAGCTTGGTGGTTAAAGAAGTCGTTATTGTGGCTGGAAGCTTAGACCATCTCCAATGGTTAGAAGTGAATGAGGGATTCTTAATCATTTTTTAAAATTTAAATTTTGCTTTTTCAATTGAACATATTTGTATTTTTTAAAACACAATTAAGATAGATTTATTAGGCTATTTAAAAGGATTTCAATTGTTTGATAGTAGGGTTGGGTATTTATGCTTGAAAACTATCCACATTCATAATCACATTTACTTTGAAAAAATATAGTTTACATATATTTCTTAAACTGAAAAAAATCTTCCAATACCATAATAAGCCTAATTGTATACTTCGAGATATGGACATTTACCTATAAGGAAATAGGAATGTAACTTATTTACATAAGTTCGGTAGTTTTAAAACATGAAAAGGAAATATGTTATATAAATCAATTTATTCGCATATTTCATCATAAATTCGAATCAATAATTAATTTGATTATATGATTTATACATATCAAAATTTATTAAAATTTGATGAGGAGGATAAATTTACAATGCATTGAAGTAGAGGAAGATTTAATAGGCCTATGTGTTCTTGTTCGGTTCGGATTTTGGGTTTAGACTTCTAGAACCCATTCAGATATTTATATGTTTGGATCTGGTTGGTTTGAGTTATTTCGGTTCGGCTTCGGGTATCCGAAATATCGGAAAAATCTTTTAAAAATGTAGTTAGATTTGAAAATAGAGGATCCGTTTCCACCATCGGACTCTGTTCCAGTTTGATCCTCTTCTTGTTATGCTGTTCTCTGTTTTTTTTCTTTCTATAAGATCGCCGCTCTAATACCATGACAAAGGTAGAAGAGAAGGTTCCAATTTTCTTATTGATCTTAAGAAGATATATACAGTATACAAAGTATCATATAATCCTAAATCCTAATAGCCTACAATTTACGTATAAGGAAATAGCTAACTTATTTACATAAGAGTCCCTAATACTTTGATTAGTTTCACGAAAATTTTGGATTTGAATATTTGATTAATTTGCTGTATCAATTAACATCCCGGACTTGAAAAATCTTTCCATTACAACCCTAAACCTTAAGAGCATTGAGCTGGTTATTTTCTGGCGTACAAGCACGTGAAGAGGGCTACAAAAGTGATCATTGCAAGTTTTTAAAATAATATAAGTGAAAAGAAAATGAGATATACGTTTTTATACCTTTTCGTTTCAAACTTACAAGTATTATCAGCAATACGATAAAGAGTATAGCTTTAAAATCATAATCTCTATTTATTTCTTCACATAAACGGGCAAACTTTCACAAAACATTTTCTCGACTCTAAGAAAGCACAAAGGAGAAAGAATAACAATGTCCACTTGCACTTTACTACTAGTTGAAGTACTTTTGGAACTCTTCTTCTCCCTTGCAATGCTTAGAGATGAATGCGTAGATTTCCATCATCAAGTCCGGGAAAGGATCAGTAAAGAAGCTATCTAACCTTTCTGGAACCTTTCCCACAATGTTCTGAGACATCAAAAGTTATAAGATAACCAGTTTATATATGCTCATGGGTAACTATGTTTTATATAATTTGTTTATAAAGACAAACCTGAAATGGTTAACTATGTTTAAATAATTTGTTTATAAAGACAAACCTGAATGTTTGGATCATCAAGTATTTCTCTTTGGTGACTCAGAGTATTTCTTATTAACCTTAATAAGTTGCGAAGGCTCGTATAGTCGTACTGACGATGAGACTGTTTGCGTTGTGGTAAATTTTTGATGTGCTTTATGAAGGTCGTATTTAGCTTACTATCCCAGTGACTCTGTTTTATAACTTTTGGTGCTACTGAAGACTCCAGTTTTTGCCAGATGTTTTTATCATGCTCAATTCGATCACTAGCCTCCCGAAGAAAAAAAAGCCTCTTTTCGGAGTCCCAAAACATAGGATGGAGAAGCACTTTAGTTGCACTAGGACTACAAAAAAAAAACCAAGCTCAAATTAGAAAATGGTTTTGTTAAGTGAATTCTAAATTAGTAGACAAGAGGAAGATGACATTACCGTAAATTAGGTTTGGGGTTAAGCAATTGCTCGATGAGGTTTAAAGCTTCAAGGTTCTTTACGAGTGAGAGGTTGACTGCATTGTTGCCCAGGATGTTGGTCTTACGATCTCTAATACCTCCAAAAGGATGGTAACCCGTCATGGCGTAATATAGGATACATCCAAACCTATACATATCAACTGGAAAATCTTCATTTTCTTTCCGAAGCTGCTCCGGTGTTTGCCATCCCGAATTACCATAACCTGCAAATTTACGCATTCATTTAGGAAAATTTGTTTCAATCTCGTTTCACACGCAGAATCGAGAGGTTCAACCATAATATGCCCCATCACGTTTAGGCACATGAATTTAGCTTGAATTTGCCTTACCAACCTAGGCCATTACGTTGTTCTATCAGTCAATATGAGGATCAAACAAACACAACAACGAGGAACTTACATGTGTCAAGGTGTTTATAGGCTGACTGTTCCCCACCGAGATGCTTGCTTAAGCTCATATCGGATATTTTGGCAATCAAAGTCATCTCTTTCACTATCACTAGCACATTATGTGGATTCAAGTCCCGGTGAACTATCCCCAACTCATGCAAGTGGGCAAGGCCAGAAACTATATCTCTGCCCAACATCACAAACAATTTAAAGAATGTGAGCTTAAAGTAAATATGAATCTAAATTAAAAAGTATATCCCTCATCAAAGCAAAAACAACATAATTATTATTATGAAATATGCATAAAATTCAAAGTCCAAACTAACCTCATTAGTTTTAGCATTATAGGTAATGGCTTGCCCACATCTTTCCAGAAGTTGATTTTTTCCATAACTTTTTCCAAAGGATCCAGTGGAGCTACTGCTTTAGTCGATTTGCCTTGAGTATTCAAACTGATTCTTCTCACACATAATTTTATTAGATCATCTAAACTGCATTTCCAAGGCTCTAGACAAATGTAAGCAAAATTCTGGTCTTGCTCCACACCATGAAACCTAATGATGTTTGAGTGGTCGTCAGATAAACAGTGGTTGCCAATCTCGTTCAGAATTAAAGCATCCTGGGATAGATCAAGACATTTCACGGCCACTGAACGTTTTTTACCAAAAACACCCCAAAACACCTCATAGGCATTTGACTCATTTCTTCCATATTCCATTTTCTTAGCTGAGACAAACAACCTATCATTAACCATTTTCCCATCGGTTAATTCATCATTCTCAGTACTGAGTTCTTGCACTACTACTCTATCAGGTAAAACATACGTCTTGGATATCTGAGCTGAAGAACCTACGACGACTTCTGACTCTGAATTTGTTTTCTCGTTTTCTAAATCATCCTCTCCTAATCCTCCAGTACTAGGATCTGAATTGTTATCTACCTGCTCATTTTCAGTACCATCCTCTCCTGATCCTGAGGCACGAGGAGCTGATTTTGTATCTATCTTCTTCTCATTTACAATACCATCCTCTTCTGATTTGCCTTTCGATGAAAACCTCATGAAGACACAAACAACAACGACAGCACCCACAAGAAAGATGGCCAATAACCACATGGATGAAAAAGAGCTTGGTTTCCCTAGTCGATGCAAAAGCGATCTGCCGGTGGTGGTAGCTCTACAAGGAAATGTCCATGACAACAATAACAGTAGAAACAACGGTAGATGGCGACGGAAACTCAGCACCGTCCGGATCATTTGGACATGAAGATCTGAACCTGAAGTAACAGCAAGTATAGTGATCAACAGTGTCTTGAAGATTGACTTTTCAGCCATTATCCGGGTCTTTATGTTTACTCCTAAGTCAGCCTGCGACGGAAAAAACACAAACATCATAAAGGAATCCTTCTTCAGCATATTAAGCCAAGAAATGCTGGTATTATTAGAAAACGGAGGTCATTTAGAAGAAACAACAAGAATGTAAGATCAAAATGGAAAATGAACAAGTAGTACATAACTATAGTCATGCCCCAGTCAATGTAGTTCCATCAAGAAACCTTTCTTAAATATATACTAACTGTCTTCAACGTCAAGTAATCTCAAGATCTTAAAAGAATGACTTATAAATAAATGGCATTGATACATCTAGAATGTGCCAGAATTCAAGCAGATAATGTAACCTGCCAAACTCAAATTACCTCTGCCCAGTTGAATGCTACCATCCCTTTTTTTTTTGAAAGAATACTAGTTTTTGCTACTTGAATCTCTTGCTCTGTGTTGTTCTTTTGTAGTGGTTTGTGCTGTGACCCCCTCTCTGTTTTTATAGCCGAGAGATGATTTCTCTGCTCTGTTTTTTCCTTTACTTCAACTTCTTCTTCATCCAACCACCCCACGCACTTAAGAGCTTGATTTATCCATTTTTGGATAAAGCTTTTGCTGTTTTCTGTCACCATCACATTCTCTCCTCCATTCAGTAACCACTAGGAGCCGTGTCTTTGTGATACAAATTAACTTTTACAGATTCATGTATGTAAAACGAAAAAAGTGGCTTATAGTAGCATAAACTTGCTATAATAAGTACAATGGAAGACACATTGTTTCAACATTTCTCAAATTGTTCCACTTTTGCTCTAGCTTTTTGCTGATTGAGTAAGGAGGAGTCATGTGGATGTGGAACGATTTAGAATTATTTTTATTATACAAAGAATATACAAGAAGTGGTTTGTAGTAGCACACAAGTTTAAGAATTCAAATCCAACTATTTCTTTGGTCTTAGCTAATTTTGGTAGTGCTTATTGAATAAGGAGGATTCATGTGTATGTGGGATCAATTTAGAAATACTTTTACTAATCGGAGTAAAAGTGAAACGAAGACGTTAAAGAAAAACACGATGGAGATGATGAGGTGGCAGCTAAGGCCATTTTTGTTGGTTGTGTGATTGATTTTGTTGGTTGTGTGATTGGTTTTCAAATCGTTTTTGTCACGCTCGATTTATGTGTTTTCTTAGTGATGAGGTGGTGGCTTATTTGGGTCTATGTGATGTAATTTACTTTTACATATATATATATAAAACGAAAATAGTATATATAGTAAGTAAAATGGAAGACACAGAGTCTCAACATTTTCTACATTTTTCCACTTTTGCTCTACAGCTTTTTTGCTGATTGGGTGATGGACGAGTCATGATGTGTATGTGCAACGATTTAGAATTTTTTGTTTTGCTAATCTGACAGTGAGAAACGAAGACGTTCATGAAAACACCAGGAGATAATGAGGTGGTAGCAAGGGCCATTTTTGTTGGCTGTGTGATTTAATTTATACTAGTGTCAAAATGGTTTTTTTTTTTTATAATACTTCTAATTTGATAATTGATATTTTTGATAATTGATATATGTGAATACTATTTTATACATATTTTTTTTATAAATTGATATATTCCGGGCTACATATTTTTTACTTTTAAATATATCGTAGAATCAAAAAATATATTGAAAACTAAAAATACTTAATACTCTAACCAAAAAGCCTATATGGTATTGTTAGTTTTTTTTTTTTTTGGTGAAGTGGTATTGTTAGTTAATCTATCTATATCTTGTAATTCCCTTTATTTTTCGCCGTCTCCATTCATTTTATTCCTTTTCATCTTTTAGTTTTATTTTATTAACTATGCATTTGACTTTTGTTTTCAAATTTTTGTAGTCCTCCTCTCTGTTTTAGTTTTCAATATATTTTTTGATTCTACGATATATTTTATGCTCTTCTGAGATTTGATGATCTATCATTTTAATTATTTACAATTTTATGTTATTTTATGACATATCTTAACATAAAAATATGTTATTTTGTGACATAACTTAAGATATGTTATTGGACCTCGTAACTATTGTCACCAACTGTTATAACCTCTAATTTATTAGTAATAAAATCTTGACATTGTCCGATTAGTGAAATTTTTTATCTAATCTAACAAACAATAATACATAAATAAATTGAAACAGTAGATTTATCTAGAATTTTAAATTCTTTCAAATCCAAAACCAAGCCTTCTTTTTTCGCATCCTATTAAATTATTAATATTAACATGGAAAAAGCTGAACTGAACCTAGGCTAATAGCACAGTAAAGTCTGTTTTTTTATTTTGTATTACTACTGGTTCTGCAAAAGCATATATCAATTTTTGGAAAGAGTAGAACTTAAACGAAAATAAGCAAAAATAGGGCCCATGAGGAAAACGACGTAGAAAAACGACGTAGAAAAACGACGTAGAAAGTGGAGGTCATGCAATAAAAGCATTTCATATCTAGATTAATTATTTAGATTTGTTTTATTTAAGTAAAGATTTTTAAATGAAATTCATTTCATATCTTTAGCAAAAGTCTCTACAAAATCTTTCCTTATCTATTTAAGTAAAGATTTTGAAATCAAATATGTTCTCAACAATTTACCAAAAATCTCTACACAATCTTTTTAAAAATCTCGACTTAGTTAACTTCTGATTTTTATCTGCAAAAAAAAAAAATTAATAGTAACGAGTGATGTAAAAATCGGAAATGTTGATATTACAATTTCTTCTACTATTTTTTTTCATATAATGAAAATTATTTTTTAGGGATACTTTCTCAAAACCTCTAAATAAAACAAAAGATTTCAAAAGATAGCTTCTCTTTTGGCGGGTCGACACGCAAATCCGCAACTCTCTACGGGCTTCTCCGCATGAACCTGCGACCCGTAGTGGATAAAAATATTTTACAAAAAAAATAACAAATGATGTTTAATTTTACGGGACGGGGTTATATGGTGCAACGGGTTTAGATCGATATTAATATTAAAAATATACTATGGATGAAATCTTAGAATTAAAAATCAAAATTTAATTATAAAATCAAAAACACTAAACAACATAAACAATATTAACAAAACAAATACAACTTAAAATTTTGCTAAATAATTTTTTAGTTATAAAAAATCGACCCGCGGTGTACCGCGGGGTAAAATCTAGTTTTGTATTAATACTGGTTCTGCAAAAGCATATATCAATTTTTGGAAAGAGTAGAACTTAAACGAAAATAAGCAAAAATAGGGCCCATGAGGAAAACGACGTAGAAACGACGTAGAAAAACGACGTAGAAAAACGACGTAGAAAGTGGAGGTCATGCAATAAAAGCATTTCCATCGGGATCAAATGAGCGCAAAAGTATGTGAGAAATAGAAACGGCACTAAAAAAATAAGTACTTTCAAATCTCTATTTAAGAAACTCCTTTGACATATGTTTTTGTATGACTGGTTCTTCATTTTCATTGACTAGATTTACTCGCCCGCGCGTTGCGCGGGATATCAAAATTTAAACTGACCACAATACAAAATATTAAAAATAATCACAATCATTTGAATTTCAAAACTATATATATTTTTACAAAATAATATAAAACATAGAAATTATCAAAAATATTTGGTATGTACCACGTAATAACAAAAGTAATATAATATGAATCGGTTTCGGTAGCCATCCATAAACTTTTGTCAAAAAGAGAGTTTATTCTATAAACAGATCTTGTAAGTATATCTATCTCAAGGTTTTGATCTAATCTTACCCCATACTAAAAGTAAATTTGCTGAGTTTGAACATCAATTTATGAAAATGTATAAACGTAATATTCATGCCGCTTCAATAGGTTTGGAGAGCACAATTTACCTACTGAAGCAAGACAATCATGCATTAAGGAAAGTTTTGACCAAATCTCATTTTTTTTTTTAAAAATAAGTTTTGACCAAATCATGAATGTCTTTATCTTATCTTATCTATCCTACAACGCTTTATACATTGCTCAACGGTTTAACCCAATGTTGAATATGATAGTTTGGTTTACTAAATTAAACTATCCGATAGTGCATACATATATCCGATGAATTTATTTTAGCCATGTGCATACATATATCTGATGCTTCAAGCATTAGTCAATTTCTCTTCAAACATTTTTTCACTTTCATTTTTTCGTCATCTTCTATGATGCACTTATTCGCCTCCTAACATCTACTTTTCTTTTATCTTCTATGCTCACTTACAAATAATAATAAAACTTTGAATTCATTCTTAACTCAAAACTATTTTTTTTTTTTTTCATCTTCTTAGCCTATTTTCTCTTATTAATTATATGATTTTCATGCTTGAGCGTATTATATAGTTTTACGGAAGATATATATTTATGAAAATTGTCTCAACACTTATTTATATTTTACCTATATTTAAATATTTTCCCCTTTTTTATTTAGAAAGAAAACAATATTATAGATATATTTGTATTTTTTTAATTGTATTATTAAGATACAATCAATCTTTCTATTTTTTCGTCAATGTGAATTTATACTTTTACTTTCTTGAAATATAATTTCCAATTATAAAAATGAATTATTTCTTATATCTTAAAAAATTATACAATCATAAATTTACTATAACATTTAACCATTTATTTTTTAATCTAAAAAATAATATTATTTTAAATAGATTTCTTCCATTTCATTATCATCTCTTTAAGTTAATGTTTTCTGGAACTATGAATATCTTCTTATTATTAAAAAAAAAATCTCTTATAGCTTTCTATTTTAATTCAATTCTTTTGTTCATCCTAAATTATATTTGAAGTTTCCTTATTATTCTTAAAAGTGATATGTTTTAAAAGTTCGTTTCTTTTTTTATCAATGTGAATTTATACTTTTACTTTCTTGAAATATAATTTCCAATTATAAAAATGAATTATTTCTTATATCTTAAAAAATTATACAATCATAAATTTACTATAACATTTAACCATTTTTTTTTAATCTAAAAAAAATATTATTTTAAATAGATTTCTTCCATTTCATTATCATCTCTTTAAGTTAATGTTTTCTGGAACTATGAATATCTTCTTATTATTAAAAAAAAATCTCTTATAGCTTTCTATTTTAATTCAATTTTCTTTTGTTCATCCTAAATTATATTTGAAGTTTCCTTATTATTCTTAAAAGTGATATGTTTTAAAAGTTCGTTTCTTTTTTTTATTTTTAATAAGTTATTATTTTTTTGTAATTGTATAATAAATTTCATTAAGAATCCTTTTGCCCTTCTTAAAAAAAAATGGTATTTCTATGAAATTTTCATTATTATTTTTTATTTCTTAATTATATATTTAGGGATTATGTTCATTTTAAGTTATATATTAGCAAAAATTTAATTTTAAGTGTTTTATATTTATATATGTTTCACTTGTGTTATCATTATTCAAGTAACCTTTATTTAAAATTGTGCATTAATTAAAGATTACTTCTTAGATAATTAGATGTAATTAACTATAAAATTAAATATTTTGAAACAACTATTGGTGGGATCCATCATATTAATTTGGTGATGATGTGGACACTCTAAGAGGAGAGAAAACTCTCTCATTATATATATAGATTTAAAATTTTAAATATAAAGCTAAATTATATTAATATATTATATTTAAAAGACTCAGTGAGTTTCTCATTGATAAAGATGCTTTAAGGGGTATATGCTTTAAAAAAAAATTAATGTGAATCTTTATGAATCAAAGAAATGTAATTATCCGTACAACTTAGGAAAAAAAAAAGCTATCCATACAAATGGTTTTTTTTTTATTATTATTTATGAATGTGGCAATTTCGTAGTTTGGGATAAAGAAAGGTCTACTTTGGTCACTGTTTTCTTCTTTTAAAGCCGGCGAGAGAATTGTCGAAAAATCAAAGAAAAAGGGACAAACTTTAGAAAAGCTTATGGATCCGATCGAATCTGTGGATTACAATGGCTTTGAGACCATTAAATGTAACTCCGACGTCGACCATGGATCGAAGAAAGTTGTGTCTCGGAAGCAAAAACCGGCGGATCAGTCGGCGAAGATGGTCGCTGCTTATGTGGAGGATGAGTGGAGCGGTGCCGGTGAGGCGATATCTAAAAGCCGATCGAATTGTGACGGTGATGAGGGATATGATTTCGACAACGAGATAGCGACGAAGGATGTGAAACCCAACAAGGAGACGAAGCCGAAAGTGTCTTTGGCCGAAGCTGCCGCAAAGATCGATCCTTGGGATCTTGCGGATTCCCTCGCCAAAATATCGGTAAGCTCATGCGATGTGGAATTCGTCACTGGATATTCTGATGTAAATAATCCGATAAGCTTACAAAAATCTTTCGCTTTCTTTTGATAGAAATCGTATCATGAGATGAGAAAATGTCTCGCAAGACCCCTTTTGGAGGTGCGGCTATTGAGATTTGTCGATTACCTTGGGATAACACTTTCCGCTGTGCAATTTCCATGGCTGGAGACGTTCAAGCCTTGGCCCAAGCTCATAGATCTGATCGATGTGAGCTCTTTTTTCCCCTGAGATTTTCGAATCAAATTCTAGGTGAAGCTGATTATCTTTTTCTTTTTTTTTTTGTAAACAGGTTCCATTATCTCATATCCCTGAACCTGTCTACAAAACATCAGTCGATTGGCTCCACCAATTACCTATTGGGACACTCGCTGCCTTTGTATTGTGGTCGTTGAATCATATTCTCACGAATTTGGAACCAGGAGGTCCCAAAGGTGGGGACAATGGTCAGCAACGTACTACTTCCAAATCTCATGTAATTATGGATAACCATTCTCATCTTTTCTTATGCTCCTATGTCTGTGTTGTATGTGTTTGACTAACTCCATTATGTTGTTCTATTTGTTTCACAATTAGGTTGCAATATTTGTTGCACTAGCAATGGTATTGCGCACTGAACCTAATACTTTGGTTATTGTATTGCCGACTCTCAAGGAGTACGAGTATCGAGGACATGACAAGCTTCCGATTATAGTTTGGATGGTGGCTCAGGTTCATGTGATATTTTGTTCCCCTTATGTTTAGGACCAAGAGTGTCCAAATTTGTGTTTTCTGAAAGTTATTCAACTGTTATATGTGGACAGGCCTCCCAAGGTGATTTATCTGTAGGCTTGCATTCATGGGCGTCTAACTTGTTACCACTAGTACTAGTCGATAGCAACCCTCACTCAATGGATCTCATCCTGCAGTTGGTTGAGAAGTGAGTCGAAAATTTTCTTGTGATCTTTTTGGCTATATATATACAATCATCTTATAATTTTCTTGTCAGGATTTTGTCTACTCCAAATGCTCGGACCATACTTTTAAATGGAGTTATCATAGAGGAACTGCGACTGGTTTCACCTTATGCATTTGAGATCTTGATGCGGCGTGCATTCCCATCCGCAAGAGTAAAGGTAAGCAGTAGTGTCAGAATTTATGAAAACCTTGATGCGTTTGTCGATTCTGATCACAAGCATGGTCTCTATACGCACACAGGCTACAGAGAGGTTTGAGGCAATTTATCCCTTGTTGAAGGAAGTGGCTCTTGCCGGTGAACCAGGAAGCGAGTCAATGAAACAAGTCACTCAAGAAATATTCTATTGTTCTTTGGTAATCGCTGGAAAAGGTATTAGTAACAAATGGAATCTTTAATCCTTGAGTTTCTGGTTCCCTCTCTCTTCTCCAAATAAAGTTGTAATGTGTTACCGTTGTTACAGGAAATCCTGCTTTAGCCACGGAAGCTACAGCAATGGCTATCTGGTCTTTGACCGAAAACGTAGAATGCTGCAAGCAATGGGAAAGACTCAATTGGGAGAATCAAAAAGGTAGTGCTGCTGTTCTTAAAAAGCTTGAAGATGAATGGAATGATATTTCCCTCAAACTATCATCATCACCGAGTCATACTATCACTCTCATTCAAACTATGAAGAACATCAGGCTAAAGGTAATGCCTCTTACTCTTCTAAGAACTTATTTCACCCTCCTTTCAGTTGTAATTTCAGCTCTGACCTAACCTATGATTCTTTTAGAATAAAAAAGCCACCACTGAAGCTGACAAGTCCTGCAAAGTGATCTTGGGTAGACTCTTCCGTGAAAGTGGCTGCGTCAAAGGTACAGCCATTATTACTGCTGTGGTTCTAGCTGCTGCAGTTATACTATCTTCCAACCTGTAGGCTACATCCGTGCTGAAGAAGCTGGTGGACTCATTGGATCTGCACCTATACTTCAAAAAAAAAAATTTAGTATATTTAGGCGAAAGCTTCTCTTAGCTATGACTTGTGTGGATTATAGAGTTACTCTAAATTATGTGGTATTTATAGAGTCTTCGGGTCCAATTGTTGGATTTGTTATGGAAAATATAATATTTGGAACAATTAATTATATATTTCAATATAACAAAATTTAGACGTACATATGTTTTCTGCAATCTCGGAGAGAATTTTAATAAACGGTTTGTGTAAGTAGTAAATAAATGAGAGTTTGTTATTAACTCTAATAAATTTTGTGTTTTGTCAAAAAGAAAAAAAAAAAAAAAGAGATAAAAAAAGGTCTACCCCAATTTACTACTACTAACAATTAATTTTCGGATATTAACTATCGAAACAAAACAAAACGAAAAAAACAAAAAGATTTGCTCCGGTCGGAGAGAGATCTCAACGAAAGTCATCGTCACTCCCAGAAAGAAACTCAAAGGTAAGAGAAGACTATCCGACTCGTTGACATTTCCCTTTAGCTGCTTCTGGATACGAATTGTTTCTCCACTATCTCAATTTCTCCATCTGCTAAGAAATTAAAAGATTTTGTAATTCTAGGGTTTGATCCTCCCTAATTTACTGGGAGTTTCGATTGTAATATCTTAATCCCTTTCATGGAATTGTGCTGTTTCTGCGATTACAAGTTCGAGAATTGATTCATTCACTGCAAAATTTGCTTTGATTTCTTGGAAACTTGTGATAACAAAATCTTTTCTTACCCAAAATCGTGAAAAACATGATTTTTTTTTTCTTGTAGTGATTGTGTCTTTCAAAGCATAGTTCTCCAATTCTCTATGGTTTCTTCCTTGTGATTTGTGTAAAATTTGTAGCAACTGTTATTTTGGTTTCCTTTAGTTTAATGTTGTTTGAAATCTCAGGTTATAATGGCGAAGCTAAGGCCTAGACAGTTGGAACTGAGCAAGACTGTTCCTTCCAAGTTAGGTTTTGATGGAGAAGAAGACGCTTGGGTCTTTGTTAAAAAGCAGAGAATCATCATTGTTTTGCCTTCTCTTCCACTACCTGAACAACATCTCACTATGGAGAAACCTGCAATAACTTCTCAATTAGAAGCTGAGTTAAGAGAAAGCATGGAGGATACGCAAGAAAGTACTTTTCTTCACACTGTGGTACCTGCTCTTCCTCTGCCTGAACATTTCATTATGCACAAGCCTGAAAATTCTGAGTCTCAAGCTGAGTTAAGAGACGTTCTTGCGGATACGCACAAAACTACTACTCCTGTTCCCACTGTGGTGGTACCTACTCCTCTTCAAACTGGGATGTCTCCTCTTCTATTACCTGAACACTTCGTTTTGCAGAAGCCTGCAACTTCTCAATCACAAGCGGATACGCACGAAACTACTCTTCTTCAGACAGTGATACCTTCTCCCCCTGTACCTGACCATTACAGTCTGCAGAAGCCTGCAGCTTCTAGATCACAATCTGAGTTAAGAATGAAGATAAGCAAAGCTACTCTTGTTCACACAGCAATGCCTTCTCTTCCTGTACCTGAACATTGCACTTTGCAGGAGCCTACAACTTCTAAATCACAAGCTGAGTTAAGAACGGAAACACACAAAGCTATTCTTGTTCACACAGTGATGCCTTCTCTTCCTGTACCTGAACATTACAGTCTGCGGAAGCCTGCAACTTCTCAATCACAAGCTGAGTTAAGATTGGATACGCGCAAAGCTACTCTTGTTCACACAGCGATGCCTTCTCTTCCTGTACCTGAACATTATAGTATACAGAAGCCTTCAACTTCTCAATCACAAGCTGAGTTAAGAGCGGATACGCGCAAAGCTACTCTTGTTCACACAGTGGTGCCTTCCCTTCCTGTAACTGAACATTGCACTTTGCAGAAGCCTGCAACTTCTCAATCACAAGCTGAGCTGAGAGACCTGGTTGTGGATACCCACGAAGCTAGTCGTGTTCACACTGTGGAACCTGAGGCTTATCCTGATTTCACCTCAGTAGACAAACCGGAGATAGTTATGAGTCGCAGTCTCACAACCAGGAAAGCTCCAGCACCAAAGAGATCACTTCAAGATTGTAGAATGAATCAGGATAGAAGAGTGGAGGTTCACAGGAGACGTGCGGGTCACAAGCCCATAAGGTTTCCTAGAGTGATGTGCAGCTCTGTAGTTATTGATAATGAGAAGCTGAGAGTGTTGAATCTAGAGAAGAAGGTTGAGAAAGCGGGTGGGTTGCACGAATGGGTTGGATCTATAGGATTAGGGAGAGAGTTTGAGAGGATGTTGAGAGGACAGAAGATGAGTAAGTTTCAGATGGCGAATTTGACCATGGAGAAGCTTAAGCAGATGGGTGCTTTAGCCGTTGGGCCAAGAAGAAAGCTTATACATGCAATTGGTTGTGTCTATCACCCACATTGTCTACGTGCTTCCTTTAACTGACAACTATCTATGAAAGTTTAGTTATTTAATTGGGTTCAATAAAACTTAGCTATGATTGATTGATGTTCAAGTTCAAACTAATTTTTTTGGTAATTGATAGTCTCTTTGGACCATAGACCAGAGCAAGGTCAAGGTAGTCACCATAGACCCTGGTCCTGATCATTCTAACACCAACTTGAAGTGTGTCACGTGGTGAATGCGACAATGTCACTGTTTGATGTGATAATGTATTGTTGTCTATTTTATAATATTAGCGTGGCACATGCAATATGATTAAATAGTTAACATGTCATATATAGTAATGGAATGTAGCCTAGTAGGTGATCTTGTGGCAATGGAATATATATAAGTTTCTTTTCTTTTGACACAAACGTGTATACCAATAATTCCACGAAAAAACTATAAAATAAACATAAAGATATTTTCTGACAAATCTGTGGATATTTCTCCATCTTATCTGGGATTCCATTTGCACACAGATCAATGGACGTAGCGCGTGATAGATCACGCGCCAGATGTTAGGTACGTTGAGATGCCACGTCATATTGAGGAATCTTTGGCGGGTTTCATTTTTTACCTATAAAAATGGCGGCCGCAAAGTTTCTTACGTCTCCGATGTTGTTTCACAAACAAAAAAACAATTGAAAAAAAAAACAAATAAGAGGAGCGAATCTCGGCGATGGCAATCAAAGACCTGACGGCGACGACCGGTGATTCATCTCTTCCTTTGATAAAACCTCCGCCGTCTGAAACAACCGGCGGTGACAGAACCTCTGCTCTTCAGACGCTTGGTAACATTATCGTCTCCATCGTCGGTACAGGCGTCCTTGGTCTTCCTTACGCATTCCGCGTCGCCGGTTGGTTCGCCGGATCTCTCGGCGTCATTATCGTCGGATTCGCCACCTATTACTGCATGCTCCTCCTCGTTAGTTCCTTTTCCCAAATCCTAAAATCTCTCTCTCTCTCTCTTTCCCGAGCTGAATATGAAATTATAATTGGTCTCAATGGTAGCTATTATCAGTCCCGGAAAGATTTTGATTTCCTTGAATCTCTCAATGTGTAATTGTTAATTTCTCAAATCGATTTCAACAACGTAATCTAATTGGATATATTTGCAGATTCAATGTAGAGATAAGCTAGAATCGGAACAAGGAGAAGAAGAATCGAAAACTTATGGTGATTTAGGTTTCAAATGTATGGGAACAAAAGGTCGATACTTAACCGAATTCCTCATTTTCACTGCTCAATGTGGTGGATCAGTAGCTTATCTAGTGTTCATAGGACGAAACTTGTCATCCATATTTAGTTCATATGGGTTAAGTATGGTGTCTTTCATCTTGATTCTGGTTCCAATCGAAGTTGGATTGTCCTGGATCACTTCTTTATCAGCTCTCTCACCTTTCAGTATCTTTGCTGATATATGCAACATTATAGCAATGTGTTTCGTTGTCAAAGAAAATGTGGAAATGGTGATTGAAGGTGACTTCTCGTTTAGTGATAGAACCGCTATTTCGTCTACCATTGGTGGTTTACCTTTTGCTGGAGGAGTTGCGGTCTTCTGTTTTGAGGGTTTTGCAATGACGTTGGCTTTAGAAAATTCAATGAGGGACAGAGAAGCTTTCCCTAAGTTGTTAGCTAAAGTGCTTGCCGGGATTACATTTGTCTATGTCTTGTTTGGTTTTTGTGGTTATATGGCTTATGGCGATCAAACAAAGGATATTATCACACTTAACCTCCCAAATAATTGGTCTGCCATTGCTGTGCAGGTAAAATTATGCCAATTCTAATGTTTTTACTGCTTATGTGAACTTATGTTTCTCGCATTTCATCATGATTATAGATTCATATGCTCTGTTCTTGTTTATGATTTTCCCTTTAGAATAGAATTGTGTGGAAGCTTGTATATCATTTGAAAAATCTGGACTTCTGTTTTGGCATCTTGGTGTTTGTTGATCATGTAAAAGAATTCAGTTGATAAAACACTTTTCTGTTTTCTTTGGTTTAAACAGATTGGGTTATGTGTGGGATTGACGTTTACATTCCCGATTATGGTACATCCGCTTAATGAGATCATAGAGCAGAAACTGAAGAAGATAGATTGGCTTCAAAAGCATCATCATGGGTACAACAACGAAACAGGTTCAGTCTCAAAATGTGCAATCTTTATGACGAGGACGCTTTTGGTGGTAGGACTTGCTGCAATCGCGAGTTTAGTCCCAGGGTTTGGTACATTTGCATCTCTTGTTGGAAGTACTTTGTGTGCACTCATATCCTTTGTGTTGCCGGCTTCTTATCACCTCACGCTGCTCGGTCCATCACTAAATGTATGGAACAAATCCGTCGATGTATTCATCGTGATTTGCGGGTTGCTCTTTGCTGTTTATGGTACGTACAACACAATCGTCGGAGTGTGAAAATGGAAAGCAAGTGATCTGTGTAAAGCAATGAATACAACTACAAGAAGTTTGGTAAGACAAACAAAAAAAATGTATAGATCTTTTACATAAAAAAAATGCAGAGTCGTAAAACAGCATACACACTGACTTTGTTTTTGATAAAAATTTCATTCATTCTATAAATAACTCGGAATCTTATGAATAGCACTCCGAATCCATTTTTCCAAATTTTATTGTTTTTAGTTTCGATTTTCTTTTATAAAAACTTCGACACGAAATTGGTCACCCTAAACAGGTTTTTCTGTCATCCAGATACCAATTCCGTATTTTCACTATAATCACCCAAATAAAGCTTGAAACAATAATTTAGAGTACGAGTATCTGAAGGGAGATTGCGCAATAGGTCATAGGTTATGGTTTATGCCACGTTCAAGGACATAAATCTGAAACCTATCCAAGATTTCATTAAGCCAGAGAGAATGCGATAAGAGAAAAAATAAACAACAAAAAGAGTAGAGAATCTTTTAATATTTTGAACATAAAAACTATACCTCGACGAAATACAATCCTAATTGAGAACCAAAAAAGCCAACGCCCTCTCAAATCCAAGAAACGGGGCTTTTGTCTTCAAAATGGGAATTTTGCAGAGAAAAAGGGGGAGAGAGAGAGAGTCTCAGACAATACCATATTAACACCAAAGGACTAGTTTTTGGAAGCAAAAGAGACCAGCCACACTTACTACTGTCAGGGCCAAAATCAAAACCCTTCCCTGGAAGATATATATTCATTTTGGTTATCAAATCTAAATTGAGTCTCTCTACATCCTACCCTCGCACCAAAACCACCCTTAAGATTCCTCCATGCATAGCAATGTCTCTCTCCTAATTGTATATTTTCACCGGCTTCTCGTATGCGTGTCGGTTCTACAACAAGAGCATTCAATCAGATTATTAACAGACTTAAGAGAGAGCTTCTTCTTAGAGAGAGAGAGAGAGATCTTCTTCTTAGATTATTAACAGACTTAAGAGAGAGCTTCTTCTTAGAGAGAGAGAGAGAGCTTCTTCTTAGAGAGAGAGAGAGAGAGCTTCTTACCTGATTCGCAGCATAAGCCCTTTTAGGAGCATTGTCAATGTGTTCCAACCCAAGATACTGCTCCCACGCACCGTATACATCTCTTCTCTGTTGCCATTTTTAGTTTCCAAAGAAAAAAGAGTTAAATCCTATTTCTTTTTTGAGTAGATCTAAGGATAACAGCCTTACCTGAAAGCGATTATAAACAACATCTGTGTCCTGCAAGTAATCAGGACGTCCCAATGAAAAAGATGCAAACTTCCACTGCATAACATAAAACAAAACAAAAAATCTAATTAACAAATGATCCGCCACCGATAATGACAGTAAAAAATTTACTGACATTTTTTTTTGTAACTGTTATCAAAATCAGACAAAAAGGCATGCATACCTTGGCAAAGTCCTCATCAGGGACATGGAGTTTCTTTTGGATACGGGTCTTGATTTCTTCTAAAGTTTCACCTTCGTGGATTACCAAAAAGAAAGGTTCCCCAAAATTTTGTACTTGCTGCAGAAGAAAAAATGGTTAAAAAAGTTTTCAAAACATCCCGGAGCCTCATATAGCTTTTTAAGTAACTTGAGTAATATGGACTACCACCTGATTTTGTCCGGCCTCTTTAGTAAAATGATATACGTGAATTAACCGATCATTGGGACCAATATTCTTCTCTTCGTCAGGTATCTGAGATTCCATAAGATGACAAAAGGAGAAAGTCAGCATCTTTGAGTCATCAACCAGCGAAAACTTGCATTTACATTTCATTGATGTAGCTCAAACACAACTATTCATCTCAAGCATTCAGATAACCTACACAACTAGGTACACTCTAAAGGAAATATCAATCCAAGTAACCTATGCATGACTATCACATCTTTTTTATCAACCCACCCTTAGTACCGAAGTGGGTACTCAGGCAAAAAGTTCAAAGAAACCAAAATCTACATCCATTGGGAAACAAGAGATAAGTCAAATAACAAAATACAAAAAGGCTTGGCCGATGATAAACTAGAGACAAATAAGGCGAGGCAGAGTGATATACCTCTTCTGCTCGTAAAGTCCAGTACTGGTCATTGATGTTTTCAATTCTTTCAGTAGATGGAAAGATCTGCAACGCACATCCAAATACATTAAATAAAATTTGATAATTTTCAGAAGATTGCAAAATTACATCAAACAAAATGTGGTACTGTCTACAAGCCATCATTTTAAAATCGTCAAAAAGTCAAGAAGTTAGCCTGTTACCTTGTAGATCTTATGGAAAAAGACCTCAAGTAACCTCAGTTCTGCATCTTGATGCGAAAGCTCCACCTGATGCACAAGTGTAGATTATATTTAATGAAAGACACGAATACAGAAATTATGGAGCAGAACCCATTAAAAGACAAGCCCTATGTAAGGAGAAAACAAAGCTCAATATGTGGCCAATTAGCAGAGATGCATGCAATGCAACAATATAACAAACAAAATTGCAACTAGACTGACCCACCTTTGTTTTCAGTTCGTTAATAACATCTCCAACAGTACTCTGCTTAGGTAGTCTGATATTGTGGATTATCACCTGCTTATTTAAGAGTTATCAAGGCTTAAAAGACAATAACATGTGATAAGAGAGCTACGAATCGCAGATTTAAGTTCAATCCATACTTCATCCTTTGTGGCACTATGGAAAGCCACTTTTAGAGTCTTAAGACCTTGCAATTCTGGAAGAGGAATATCCAGAACTTCATAATACAAAATGTCAGACGTCTGCAAAAAGAAGAAACATTCATAATAAGCAAATCTGCACTAGAATCAGAGAATATGTATGTTCACTCAAACCAATGTCAATCACCTGATTGTAGTGAACTAACATATCTGAAAGATGATCTACTCCACGGTATTTGATTGGCTGAGGCTTGGGTTGCTGGGAGTAGCAATTGTGAGATGTAAGTCTAAGTTTCGATGGATCATCAAGGCCAAGCTTCTCAGCCACTCTTTCCACAACATCATCATAAGTATGCTGCTTTGACCTGAAAGTAGAAGCATTATGAATTCCAATACTGAAATCAAGGAAACAAAGTTGTCCATAAAGGTACTTACAGCTCCATAGTAAATTCGTCTTCTTTTGGTTTTTCCAGTGTACGAAAACGCACCAGCTACAAAATAACAAACAAAATAAGTTAGTTACCACCAAACCTTCCCAAACAACCATTAAAAGTTTCCAAAGAATTTGATACGAAGACAGGAACCATCACAGTTTAACATGGCTATAGTGGGGTACTTTCTAACTGCACACCGGAGCAAAAAACATGGTATGTTGTATCCTCATATTCTCCAATTCAAGATTTCATATCTAAATAAGAAGTGCTTATCTGAAACTATAACAGTTGTTGCTCTAACACGACATTCTAGCCTATTTCACGATTAACAACAGTGCCCAGTCTAATTATACCTCTCGATTCTGTACATACTCCAAAAATGATGGCACATCTGGGTAGCGACATTCACTCTCCTGGATAGATAGAGGTTTCTGATAACAAATGATATCTCCATCTTCAATCTGTACGCCAGAAACCCATCTCAATGAAGAGAACAAACTATGAAACATCACATTTGATACAATGAGATTAACATTACTTGACACAGCCTGAAAGAAGTCTTCTTATCCAGTTGTTCACACATTACACAAGGTTCAAACTTAATTTCCTGAAAATGGGCACAAAAAGAATTTAAATGGAATGTTTCATGGCCATATGCATGACGAAAAGGTCGAACTAAAAGGCACCAGCCCTAACCTCAAAAAGGTCTATTTCCTCATCAGGAGCAAAACCAGCCATTTTATTCAGTTGCCCTACTATATCCATGGGCTTACTGGAACTTTTCACCATTAGCCTGCCAACATATCTGCAAAATATGGACAAAGAAATGTAACAATGATGAAAGATGCAAATTCCAGTGAATAAGGAAAAACGCATATGAGAAACAGAAAACAGGTGACAAATTCTCCATTAAAGAGGAAAATGGAAGAAAGAAATAGTGCTTTTAGAATGTAAAATATGAGAGTATACAACCTTTTGTTTGAACACATGTCAAAGTGAAAAATTGGTGGGTACACGAATTACCTTAGTACTGCGTTCTCAGGGTCATAGAGTTTAAAGAAAAGAAGGATATCTTCAGAAGATTTTTCTGGGGGAGGAATAGGAAGATCATCCTGAACAAATCAAGAATTAGTAAGACTATTTAATTTCTTCCCTTTGACCTTTCAGATTGTCATTCAGTGAATAGGCCTCAACAATTAAACTTGACAACAGGGTAGTATTACCGGTCCACGCTCTATTTCCAAAAACAGCTTTAGTTCAGCATTGTTTGCCTTGTTAGATGCCTCTCTTATTTGTCCAACCTACAATTAAATCTTCAATATTAAAATTTCCAAGATAAAAACACTATTTATAAACTAACAAGTTGGCTTATGCAAATAGCTGGTCCACTAATAATGAGTATGAGATCAGTAATATATATATATATATATATAAACACACGGAAAACAAGACAACCATTAAGTTCGTGAGAAGCAAATATACCTAGGCATGGCAGTAATGAGTAAACTAGTGTAATAACGAGACCCAAACAGGCACCACACCTAATACAAGAATAATCCCAACTAGTAATATGTCTAAGAGCAGATAACTAAACACAGAAAGAAAAAATCAGCGACGATTCTAATGTTTTGTATATTTTAATCTCCAGAAAGAAATAATACCAAATGAAAGAGGCAAACCATAGGCATGAAAAGAATTTTTGTTTTATAAGAAAAGAATAGCTACCGTCTGTAATTCTTCATTAGGTAATAGGGGACGATTGGGGCGATAAGTATGGTTTTGACGCTTTGCCCAGATCCAGAACCGCTGTAGTTGAACCGGGACACCAAACTCTTTGGCTACCTCTTCCTACACGAGGATAAATTTAAAACAATGTTACAGCATAAGTACACAAGACACTAGGTAACTTGCAACAACTGAAAAACTCCATCGAATACGGCATCTTAATAATAATACTTAAACAAACTAGTTAAAGTGTATTTTTCTGGAAATAAATAGGAAGATACAGGCATGTACCTTAAATTGTTGAAAGGGGGTCTGTTTCTGGATTCGAA